TGTATAACTTTAGGCAAGCAGCCAATTTATTACTTTTAAGCATATTGTCAAGACAACTTTATTATACTCATGAGAATATTACTGCTGAAATTATGCATACTGCCCTAAAAGCATTAATAGTGTGGAGCAGTATTTAACTTAGACGTGAAGAATCAATCAATATTTGTACTGCTAAGCATGCATTTAGGAATTCTGTATTTTCTTTTTACTCTTCTAGTATTTACCCTGTATTAATTGCAGATGAAAAGGAGTTATCAGTAGGACTTAAGAAGTGCCCCCTGCTAAACTACTCAAAACTTTTATAATAAATCAAATGAGACAGTTTTAAGATGTATGGAAGATACTGCCAATGAATTTATCATGAATCCTTTAAAAAGAATATAAAAATATCTCAGGTCTAGTTCTCCTAAGATCAGTGTGGAAACTGCCACTGTTCTCAGAGGGCAGACTGGAATGTACAGTGAATTATTGCAGTCCAAATTTAATTACTGTCATTATCTAAAACTGGCATAATTTTTGTCTTTTTTTTTTACATTAATATATACAAATTAGTTAAAATGGAGTTAGTTATGGTTTAGATTGGTATAAAAGAGAACAGAAGCTAATTACATGCACTTTAACTTTCTGCCATTCTATTATAATGTTATCCTGTAAACATTTATGGAGTGGGCTGTAAGTCAAAAGAAGTCTAATGCTAAGAGACTTAGAATGAGCACGATTGATTCAGATGAGACTTAACTCTTACATGGAAAACTGTGATTACACAATCAAATTCACATAGAGAATCTTTGATACGCAGTAAGCAAATTTGCTAATATTAGGAGCTAAATATTAGCTGTATTTTCTGTTTCCTTTATAAAGTTGAAAGGAAGCATTTGTAAGATTTCCTACAGTGTTTAAAAATAAAAAAACACACCAAAACAAACAAAAAACAAAACCCCAGAACAATGGAAAAAGCCCAAAGAACCAAGAAAAAAAAAAATCAGTGGAATTCAGGCAGTGGAAATGGTTGAGCATTTCAGTCAGAAGCCCTAGAGCAAATATAAATATGCTTGGATCAACAAATGGCATGCAAATGAAGCTCAATTTAAAAAAAAAAAAGAATAAGAATGTTCTCACTTTGAATACTAACTAATGCCTCATGGAGACGCTATAAAAAGTGTAAGGCATCTGGTGGCGTTAACTGCGGTGTAGTCATGAAACATATCCCTCCCTTTTTTTTACTTTTGACAATTTGTGTGTTGTAGCCTGCAGATTTCATGGGATACTATGAATTTCAGTATGTTTCTTGTAATTTCAACTTTTTAAATTGCTTCTTTCCAGTTCAACTCTTCAAACTAAGTGTTCTGTAGGTTAACTTTTAAAATTATAAGCAGTCAATATAAAATTTTTACTCTGAGCAATGTCTGTTTAGTTCATATAAATTCAAAGTAGTCAGCAGCTCCCATATTTTTCAGTTATAAACAGAAGTGGAGATAGCTTTCAATAGATATTTTCCATTTCTTTTACTTCTTGGTGATTTTTTCACGGGATGCCATTTTTGCTCTATGTAACTCCAGAATGTATTTGCTGCAGGGTCATCTTGGACATGAATCACCTCCCACAGGTGTTATTTCTTACTATTTTCTTGATAGGGATCCTACCATCATAACCTTTGCAATGCATGTGCTCTAACGAAGAATTCAAATTAGATGAGATGAATCTGGGACATATAAGTCCTGTGACACTGAGAGATTTGTTTGTTTAAAATCAGCCTGGCAAGGCATTTAAACATGCACTCTTCTACTGCTTGATAAAGCACTTAATAATATTTTAAAATATAAGTGTGGATCAAAGTACTTCATTGAATCAGATCTTTGGAGGCTCGCTGACCTGTTGTAAATCGGGAATTTCATAGCTGACTGTACAATTAAACTTTGACTTCAGGGGATATTTAGGTCTAAATTTCTCATTGGAAAGTCATACTGAAGTGGGCTTTTTTTTTTTCTCCTGACAAATGCAAAGAAGCTGTGAAGATGTTAAACAAAAATTTTATTTGGAATCCAAATCAAACTTTTATGCATGTTTTTTCTCATTTATTTTTCTGTTTCTGTTAGCAGTATATTTGCTCATAGCTTAACTTCCAGCTAATCTTTGAACCGTCAGCAAACTTTTTTTTCTGTTCATATTAAAACAAAACAAAACCCCAAACCGAAACCCAAACTCTTTTTCAATTTGTTTTGGTCTCTTCTGAAGTATCTTTGAAAAGATGAAGGGAGACAGCAACATAGTACAGACTTACGTTCTGCAAAATCCTATTAGTACTGAAAGCTCACTCTGTTGATGCTTGAAGTATTAAAGTTGGCAACTGCTGAATGCTTTCTCACACCAGTAAAATGACTTTCATTGAAACTAACTGAGATAGAATCACAAAAAATAGATACTGAAAGGCCTACTCAATTACTAAGAATACCCCTCTGCTTATTGTGGTATATTCATTACTGCTGGATTGATGGTCGAGATTCCCAGTTGCCACATATTGGCATAGCCCCACTGAAATCTACAGTACTTTTTTGGTTCATGTTATTTGAACATTTGTCTCCAGATCTGATTTTATGAAATAATCTGTGAATTGGAAACTTCATCAAAATTTAATTCACAGTCAACAAATAAGTGTCATCTTTTATAAGCAGGGCTTTGCTAGGAGCATAATAATAAAATGTGAATATTTATCTGACTTGGTCTGTGTTGGATATGTTTTTAACATTTTCCAGAGGAAGAGAGCAAAGAGGCATCTCTTAAAATACAAATTCAGGGGCCTCCCTAGATTATCACTATTTCAAAATGAGGATTTAAAGTCTCCTTGTGTATCAGATTCCACTTACGCTTCCTGTGGGATCTGCTTCCACATTCGGGCATGATTAATCCTCCATTCATCAAGGATTTTGAAAATGGGTTGTTTGAGGGTTTGCTTTTATGGTTTTGTTTGTTTAATTTGTTTATTTACTTTTAGAAAAGCCAGTACTCCTCTATCTGGGCCTGATCCTTGCCTTTCCCTTGCAGGTTTCTTGCTTGGTTAGTTGTAGGGATGGAGCACCATAGATCCCTAAAGTATATAATTCTTTCTTGAAGATATACAGGTGCCTGTGCTGGGTTCAGTGGTGGTGACAGCTTTGGAAAGACCAGGCATTATTCGCATGACCCAATTTACTCTGGCTCAGGAAATGTGCTTGCAGCCAATTTGGAACTTGCATGTTTCACCCTGTGAGCAGCAACCACATCCATCTGTTTCATCATGTGAAGAGCGGAGACAAACACTTTGATGGTGATGGCCAAATGTATATCACAATATAGCGGTGCGTTACTCTGAATGAATGGTCTGAACAAGAGGTTTACACAAACACGCTGAGGAGGAAGCATCTCAGAACAACATCACAGCCACACAATTAGGATACAAATGATGAATGCAATATGGTCGTATAACTGCACGTCACACATACATGATGCAGAGATGGCTATGGAAAATACTCACTTTTTCACTTGATTCTGCTTCCTTTTGGCTTCTGCACCCCTTTGGTGCATAGCAGGGAAGTAGGTATTTGTGTTTAGTGGAAGAAATTACACTGACTAACAGACACAAGCATTTTACTCACAAATTTATCAAAGACTATTGCTGAGTAGACTGACAGACAACCACTACAAATGGTGCATCGAACATTTAACGAACCCAGGCTGAACTGGCCTTGTTGAAGGAATTTTTCCACTTTTTGAGGGGTGGGGGGATGTGGGAAGAGGGATCAGCTTTTTTTATATTGGCTTCTTACTGTTTGTTAATAATTTAGTAGGAAATTAGAAATGATGCCTTGAAGAGAGCATCCTTTTCCTTTGTGTAGTTCCTAGAGTTCACCACAAG